ACTACATTTTTATGTTTTTTGTTATTTTTTCTAAAACGGTATGGATATTTAGAAAATTATTAACGCCATTTTACAACAAGCAAAAATTCTTATGAACGCATTTTTTTAAAAAAGAAAAGTTTCAAAAAAATTTCCTCTTGTAAAGACAATCCGGGGACATACTGACTGTAATATACAGGGTGTCCCAGAAATAAGTACAAGTATTTTATGGTAATATAGTTCAACCCCAGAAACACGCCTATGAGGTTTTTTTAGCGAAAAAACAATTGAAAACTTCGGGAATTTTTTTAGTTTTTAGTTAAAAAACATAATTTCTTGTTAATATGACAACATAGGTATTAGATTAAATTTACAAGAACAAATTTACAAGAGCAAAATTTTTGTATTTGTATATTTTCAAAGTAAAATAACTCCGTTATTTTGGATTTATTTGAAAAACGATAAAGAAAAAATATGGTTCTTTTATCTACCACCCCTTAAAATACTTGCACTTATTTCTGTGACACCCTGTATATATATCGATTTTTATTAGAATTAGTACAGTATATAAATACTTGAAAATTGTCAACCATTATTCATACGTCATTCAATCTTTACAAAATGTGCAGACCGGGGGCCACATTTAGCTTTGCCGCCCCGGGCTCCCGACAGGCTTAGTCCGCCACTGTATGATAGGTAGTTTAAGCTTAAAAATTTTTACTAGCAGACCTTGCTGTCAAACATTGTTCTTTTTAGAGTCTCTTTTAGTGCAAAGTGTAAAAGATAGATTAATAGCCGTAAAAAAATCATTGCAACTTTACTAGAATATTTTGAATGGGAAAGTGGTAGTAATGGCCCTTTATGTCCCTTAATTGCTGTTAAGAAGGCGAGTTTTGTTGATGTTAATGATAACTGTTTATATGTATAATTATAATTAATTTATTTTGGATTTCTAAAATATTTTGATTAAAAGAAAAAATAATGTAAAAGTCGGCAACGCTGTGCCGGTCAAGCTGAATCACTGTAGATTAAATTGTAGTAATTGTAGACAATTGTAGATTAAATTTACAAGGAAGAAATGCCAGAAAAAAACAGGGGTTTTCAAAATTTAAACATTTTTTTTAATTTTAAATGTAAAATAACTCGGTTAATTTGGACTTTTTGAAAAAAAAACATAAAATATGTTTCTTTTATTGAGATCTACCAGCCCTAAAAACTTGCACTTACATAAAACTCATCCTGTAGTTTCAGGAGGTATTTTTTGTCGGTTAGGCAAATTTGTATTCCAAGTAATAATAATCTACTGACAAGTTGGTTTCTGTTTGGATTTAATTAAGTTATGTTTACAAAAAATACTTTTTTACTTTATAGATTTCTCTTTCAGTGACGAAAAAAACATAATTTTTTCAAGATTTTTTTTTCAAATTAATATTCTGATCTGACTTTTTAAATATTAGGTTAGATAAAATAATTATAATTACTACAAAAAACGATTATAATAAACACGCAAACCACAACACAATTGATCTACAAAAAATAAATTTACATTAATTATTTGCTTTAAATCTTATGACTTAATTAAAGCTCAACCGATACAATATAAACAGTGACAAATTAATATTTAACTAGTTAATTAAATCTGAAATTAATTATAACGACATAATAACATATTTTGTTTAATTTTGTTTGAAATAATTGCTTTGTATAGATAGGTTTTATTAATAATAGTTAGAAATATCAACACATGTTTAAATAATGTTTTAATTGGTTAAAAATACTGTAAGTTTTGAGTATTACTAGTGATGAGCAAATACAAGACTCAGCCCAAGACACTCTTTGATCTTGGTCTTGGTCTTTTTTAATATATTTTTACTAGAGGCAACTTCTACACAGAAAATCTTTAAATAAATAGTTTTTCAAGTTATTTAATTCAAATAAAACTAAAAGAATGAAACAATATGTGTATGATATTGTTTTTCAATAGTGGCTAACCCCTTACAACCATTTTTGTTTTTTCAGAAAAAAACGATTTTATGTTAGTATATGACATAAGTATTCAATTATTTTCGGTCACTTATCCTGTTTAACTAGGAATAACAACTTTTGATTTTTAAATCAAACCCTCTGTATTTTTTTTTTCCTTTTTTTGATAGAAAATAACATTCACCATATGTCAACTTTTGACATTTTCTCTTAAAAAATTGTATTTTAAATTTCAATCTAGAGTGTATAATATATAATTATAATCAAGGAGCCTTGGAAAAATTGATTTGATCGACTAATGTTTTTCGTGTCTTGTCCTGGCCAGTCTTAAGATGCCCAAATCGTATTTTTAATCATATCTCAATTTTTTCAAATGGAACCAACAAAAAAATGGAAAACAAATAGAAAAAGCATTTTCTTACGAATAATTTGGTACCACACACTTGGTATTTTGAGTCAAATTGTCGTTATAAACCGCATGTTACAATTTCAAATAAACCATAAGCGAAAATGTCTATATGATGTGTCATTTTCTATCGAATAAAGTAAAAAAATACCGAAGGTGTCATTTAAAAATCAGAAGTTGTAGTAATTTCCGGTGTAACAGGAAGTGACCAAAAACGACTGAATACGTCAATCAATCCTAATTTATGTCATATACTAACATACCAAATCTCGTTTTATCATCTGAACTTTTGAGACGCATCCGGTATAACTACCCAAATACTATACTAACAACAGAAATAATGTTGTAAATAGTTGCGCACTAACTAGTTAGATTGTAAACTAGCTGCCGGTTACCTGCTATTTTAGAAAAATGTGCGCATTTCTTCAAAATATCATTATAATTTTAGTTAGTTAATAGAATGACATACCGGGTATCCCAGGCTGAGCGTGCATTAGAAGTTTCTAGAGAACCACAACATCTAGATCGGAGATTTTTTGCACATCATTGTTTTACAACGAGATCTATCGATTAAAATACTTTCAATATAGCGGCACTTCCGGAAATACCGGAAGTTGACAAGAACTTTCTTATTTTGAACGGATGTCCCCATTTTTTATTATATACTTAAATTCTCTGTAAAATTCTAAGAATATTGATGTTAAACACTGTATACCTAACATTAACCGTTTTTGAGGAAAAAAATATTTAAAATTGTTGGACCAAAAAAAACTACCTGTCAAAAAAAATTGTATAGCCTAAAAGTCAAATTTAGTGATTACCAAAGCCACTGTGACATAAAGAGAAGACATGTGGCTATCTGTTTCAAAAATTAAATTGTTCAAATGTCATTTAATAATGGCGGTAGCTGTCATAGAATTGAGCTATTAAAAAATTTTCATAAATATTTTTTTTCAAATGGAAACCCACTTTTTTATTTCACTAGTGAAAAGATTTTTCAATTTCCAATTGGTTACTTTTTAAGTATGCATGTTCCTATATCTAAAATGAAGCGTTTTTAAGATATTTAAGATATAGTTTGAAAACGTATATTTTTCTTGGTTTTATCTAGTTTCCTTTGACATTAAGTGTCAACCAGTCAGACAATTTATTTCCATCTGTCAGAAAACAAATTATTTGAATTTCCTATATAATGAATACTGTCTTCTTAAGAGTGTATTTATAAAAATATATCTCGTATTTTCGTTCTTTATAATGATATCTAATAGTTGATATTAATAATATGCCGTATGATCGAAAAAAAACAGCGCAAAGTTGGCTTGGAAATGATGATCGATAACATACCGGTTTTTGAACACAGTGTCACAATATGACATAGCCAGACAACATCACTTGACGTTTAAAGCTATAGGCTATTGGTTAAAATCAAGAAAAACATACGCTTTAAAACTAAATCTTAAAGAACTCAAAAACTATTTATTTTAGGTATGTAGGAACATGTATAGTCAAAAAGTAACGAATTGAAAAGCTTTTTCACTAGTAAAATAAAAAAGTGGGTTTCCATTTGAAAAAAATGATTTATGATAATTTTTTAATCGCTCAATTCCATGACAGCTGCTGTCATTATTATGTGACATTCGGACAATTTCATTTTTGAAATAGATAGCCACATATTTTCTCATTATGGCACAGTGGCTATGGTAATAACTAAATTTGACGTTTAGGCTATACACATATTTTTGACAGGCAGTTTTTTTCGTCCAAAAATTTTAAATATTTTTTTCCCAAAAACTGTTAATGTTAGGTATAGAGTGTTTATTATCAAAATTCATAAAATTTTACAGGGAATTTAATTATGTAATAAAAAATGGGGGCACCCATTTAAAATAAGAAAGTTGCTGTCAACTTCCGGTATTTCCGGAAGTGCCGCCATATTGAAAATATTTTTAATCGATAGATATCGTTATGAAACAACGATGTACAAAAAATCTCCGATTTAGATATTATAGTTCTCTAGAAATTTCTAATGCACGCTCAGCCTGGGACACCCAGTATATTACATTTTCAATTAAAAAATGTATTTTTTTATTTTTAGCTTCGGCTCTTAGAAAAACACTTAGAAAAAAATATTTTTTTTTCTCTAAAATGGTAACGAAATTTGGAAAAATATAAACGGGATTAACCTATTAATTTTAGAACAAGGGAAAAATTTTAATGAAGAATGCATCTTTCTCAAAATGTTAATAATAAAAAGTGTTTCCTCTTGTAAAGACAATCCGGGGACATACTGTACACTCTAGTATTACCCGCCAACTGCACAATATTCAGTATAACTTTTGTGGCATAACTCATTCTATCCTGTATAATTCACATGCTAAAGTCGTGCATTTGTTCTAAAACTAATCTTATCCACGCGTCTTTTGGTACCAAAACTTGTTAGGTATATCAAAATTGTCAAAAACAGATAAGACGAGTTTTGATACTCAACCCCTCATTTATATTCAGATATTTTAATAAACTTAGATGAAAATTCTTAATTTATTTCCGCCCTCCTTTCAAAATCCATAAAACACAAACGAATGTTTGGCGAGATAAAGAATGACCTCAATATAAATCTAACTTTGTGTTCCAGTTTTCGGAATATTTATGCCAGAAACGCCGATATTTCTGCTGGCCAAAGGCAGAACGCAGGAAGCCGAGGCGGCTTTGGTTAAATTAAGGAAAAAGAAAGCCGTGGAGGTGCAAGATGAAATTAATGAAATTATGGTTGCAGTAGAGAAGGACGGACAAAACGGAGGTAAGGACGAGAAGGATAACGATGTTTGTAGGTATAAAGATGCAGGCGGGATAACCCCGTGCTCTGGAAAAGTGTTGTTTATTTAGTTTAAAGTTAATTTTGTTTATAGACGTATTAGTGCTTTACCAAGAGTGTATATAGGCGGTGAAAATATGTATGATGTTAGGAAATAAATTGTTTTTAGATCAGCTTACAAAGAAGCACGTATTTTACAACATTACGTACAGAGTGTCCCATTTTCGTGTGTTTTACAGGGTTTCTCGTTTATGTGTATAGATGCAAAGACAGAAGTGCTATTTTTTACGAGACTAAATATACTACACATATATTCGTCGTAGCCCTCTTGATTTCTGAAATACTAGGCGAATTTGAAAATGTTGCATTTTTTGAACACTTTATGTATTGATTATGTTAGAACTTATCGAAAAGGTGAAAACTAAGTACCGTGGAGTTTTTCCCGTAAAATCTAGCAGTTAACTTGTGGAGATGTCATCCTTGAAATATGACTAAAACTTATTTTTTTTTAAATGGGATACCTAGCCTGTAAATATTTTTTTATTTATTTGTCTTAATCTAAGCTTAAGTAAAAAATGCATTATTTAACTTTTTAACATAGGTGGTCGTTTTAAATTAGGTAATCAAAACAATCGAATAATTTAATTTCATTAATTATTTTTTTTAATTATTCACAAATAAATAGTTTATTAATTAAATTTATTTATTTCAATTCTACGCCAAATTTTGGTTACTGGCTATTCCACGTTAGTTTCTGTGTAAAAACTTTTAAAATTTTTGCACAAGTGCATTAAAAATATCAATAACTTTGATTTGATTATCAGCTTGTTTTCTAAGAACTGCATAATTTCATTTTCAGTGCAGTTTATTAAAATACCACGATGGAAATCAAAATCTGGGTAAATTAAATAAAATAAAATAATAATACTCGTTTAAACTAGGTTGATTTATGTTAAAAATTTTAATACTTTTTTTAACTTATTTATAAAAATAAGAATAGAGTATACAGTGTGTCCCAAAAATAAGTCCAAGTATTTTAAGGGGTGGTAGATCTCGATAAAAGAAACATATTTTCTCTTTATCGTTTTTCAAATAAGTCCAAAATAACCGAGTTATTTCACTTTGAAAATTAAAAAAAAATGATTTTTTTCTAAAATTTTGTGAACCACTGGATCTTTTCTGTATTATCTTTCTTTTAAATTTAATCTAATACCTATGTTGCAATATTATCAAGAAATTATGTTTTTTAACTAAAAACTAAAAAAAAATTTCAAAAGAGTTTTCAAATAATTCCTAATTTTCAATTTTTTTTTTCGCCAAAAAAAAATTATATGCCTGTTTCTGGGATTGAATTATACTACCAGCTAAAATACTTGCACTTATTTCTGGGACACACTGTATATATTATACTCTTCGAAAGCTCATAACAAGGCAAATAAAATAAAAAAATAATATAGAGTGTGTCTTATTTAAAAAAAAAACAAAAGTTTGAGTCATATTTCGAAACTGACAGCTCTCAGCGAAAAATAAAAATGTAATATACTAGGTACATTTTAAAATATTTAAGTTTGAGTCATATCTAAAGAATGACAGCTCCCAGCGAAGATTTAATTACGCCACTGGATTTTACGTAAAAAACTCTACGGAACTCAATTTTCATGTTTTTGATAAGTTATATGATAACCAAGATACGAGGGGAGTGGAAAAATACAATAATTTTAAATGGGCCCTGTACTTCAAGAACTAAGAGGTTAAGGACAAATCTCATAAAAAAGTAGCAATGTGATGTGAAAACCGCATCATTGTATCTCTACTCATAAAAGAGAAGCCCAAAAAACGCACAAAATGGGACACCCTGTATACCTAAATTAATTAATCGTACGACAATTCTTGAATGATGTGTAGATATGATAACAAAAGACATTTTTCAAAAATACTATATTTTTAGTTGAAGGGTATAATAAAGATCTTTATTAATTAACTGAAATGTAATTCAAAATCCTGCTTATTATATTTACTTTTTAAATCATTTGCATAGTACAGTAAAGCACTAATTCCACCTGCATTGATATTCATCCTGCAATAATTATTAAACTAGGATACATTATGCAATTTATGATTGTTTAATTTGCAATTCAAACTACCTTTGTTTATTTAATCTATTTAAATTTATAATTATATTGATCATGACGTGTAGATCTAGAAAAAAATTGTGAATAATTGATTATTTTTTTTAGGTGGATTTAAGGAGTTTTTACGATCACAGCCGGCAAAAAGGGCTACAATTATATGCATAGGATTAGTTCTGTTACAAGAATTGTCAGGAATCCATCCAATGATGGCATACTTGAAACCAATCTTCCAAGCCAGTGGCACAACCATATCACCAGACCTCTCAACTGTGATATTTGGTCTATCACAAATCAGTTCCAACTTTATAACAGCCCTAGTAGTAGAAAAAATAGGAAGGAGAATCCTTTACATGGTCTCAGCTGTAGGATGTGGAATAGCTTGTGCTCTTTTAGGAACATATTTCTTCCTGCAAACCAAGGAAGTGTCACTTGATTCTGTTTTCTGGTTACCTTTAACATGCATGGTTGCCTACATGATCTTTTTCAGTATGGGATTGGGACCTCTGGCCTGGTCAATTGTCGGAGAGATATTTCCTTCTAACGTCAAAGGAATTGGATCTGGTCTGACAGTATGTGTATCCTTTACTGCTTCATTTTTGGTACTGTTCATGTTCCCGATAGTGACGGAAGCAGCAAGTATGGCAGCGCCATTTTGGATGTACACGGTTGTTACGGTATTAGGCTTGATATTCGTGTATTATATGGTACCTGAAACTAGAGGGATGACTTTAGCAGAAATACAAGACAAATTGAAGAGTTATGCTAAGAAAGATAAGAAAAAAGAGACTGTTAATGATATGGCTAATAATTTAGAAAATGTCACTCATTTTTGAGTGGAGGATTAGGTTAATTTATTTCAGACTGGATGAATTGTGTGCTGTTAAATGATATAAAATTAGCAATAAAATTGCTAACAGACAGTACAACATTGCTCATGTTTAAAGTAAAATATTCAGAGCAAGGAAAATCATCATTTTTCATGATGGTTATAAATAAAAATAATTTAAAAAATGTACCAAAATAAACTTCTATAAAAGGAATTGAAGAAAGTCTTGTATGCAAAAGAAAGCATATAGAAATTAAAAAGATAAATTCCCAACATTTTTAGATAGCCAGGACTAGAGCAAAAAAATATTCAAATATAATTTTCTTACACTATTTTTAAGGCATTTTGAACCATTTGCATTGAACAATGAGATTTTATGAGGTGGCGATGTAATCATTTTTCCACATCAAAAATTTTATTTATTGTCTTTTTGTAATGCATCTTTTCAAAGGAGGAAAATATTATTTTAATTTTGCTTTCAATCTTTCTTAAGTTACTTAAATTAAAATGTTAATTAAGTTCGGAAAATTCCTTTTTGTTGGAATGGTGAAATATTTTTATTTAAATATACAGGGTAAATATACAAAAATAAGTAAAAAAGTTCGTATAAATGTATGTCCTAAAATTATTAGTTTCGGAGATACAGGGTGTAGAAGTTTCATTTTTATTTTCATTTTTTCCAAATCATTTCTAAAATAACGTCAATATTTGAATGAAAAAAATATTTGAATGAAAAAAATGTCTGGGAGTTTTTTGACATGAGAAATTTGATTTTGATGTCAATATGACTCTTACTTGTAGAGGGCGCCACCTACATATTTTTTAGCTGGTTTGAAGAGTAATAACTTTTCGTTCGTATCTGTATAAAATTACTGGGTAAAAAATATACACCAAAAAAATAATGTTCTATACCATTCGGGATCTTTCCTCGGCGCCATAAAATCCCGAATTTTAGCGCCCACTGTATAACACCAACCTGGAACAATTTATGTCCGTTCGTACACCGAAAGCCCGGCCGCTCGGTCCGGTTTCATTAAAATACGACGTTTTTTACGTAAAAAAGATCTCTTGGTAAAAATCGCTAGGAATAATGGTTCTCGAGATATTTGGAATCGAAATTATCAATACCTGTCGTCGTTGACATAAATTATACAATTTTAAACATGTTGACTAAATAGTTATTAAACTGAAATCATAAATTTGAAATGCTTTTGTGTCAAAAGTTCAACAGAAATTTTTTTATCGTCCTTTTTTCAAAGAAAAATTTATGATTAATTTAAAAAAATAAAAAGTTCCCAAATTTACCATTTCAGTCAAATAACTATCTACCCAACATATTAAATTTTTTCCAAAAATGACATGTATTGACTATTTCCATTCTAAATATCTCGAGAACGGTTGCTCGTAGCCATTTTTACCAAGGGATAGTTTTGACGCAAAAAATCCCGGAAAGGTATATTTTTACACCCAGTAGTTTTATACAGGCACAGACGAAAAGTTATTACTCTTAAAGACAGTTAAAACACATGTCGGTGGCGCCCCCTACAAATAGGAGTCATATTGACATCAAAATCCCCCCAAATTTATCATGTCAAAAAACTCCCACACACCAATTTTTATCTAAATATTGACGTTACTGAAACTTCTACACCCTGTATCTCCAAAAACTAATCATTTTAGGACATGCATTTATACAAACTTTTTTACTATTTTTATCTGCAGTTTCCGGAATACAGTTCGGACCACCCTGTATATCATAATATATTTCAGCATCTCTTTGCCATTTGTATTTTTTAGTACTAGAATAGTTTTGTACATATATTTTATTACCTTGTAAGACCATATTAATTTGTATAAATAAAACATTATTGTTTTTTAATTGTTGCAGTTTACTTTTAAACTTTCGTTTGAGAGAGATGGTTTGGTTTATAATTAGATTTTGTTTCATATGAGACCTCACAACTTTTTGTAGAAGAATCGCGTGAACTCTGCGTTGCGAGACTTAGCGTTTTGTTACCTTTTATGTTTTTGACGGTAAATAATTTCTTTGTTGGGTGATTTAGGCCATCCTCCTTTTCTTCGGGTAATATACCTTTCAATATTACGATCACAGTCGATCGATACAGTAGCTGATCAAAAAAATATATTTTAACATCAAGGCAATCAAAGCAGTCAAAATTAAAAAAGAGAGAATCAGTAAAAAGTTGAAAGCAAATTAATCAAAACTGATTCTTACAACTTCGTGTCGATACCGGGTATCGGTAGCGGATAGATACTTGATTTAATAATTCTTATCTTTCATTTAATGAACAATGAAATTACGGTATTTTCCATTTTTATCATTCCTGAAAAAATTGTTGAGACTTCTGGGAAGGAGTACCGTATATTTTGAAAAGTGTGTTACCGTCGAAATGAAAGAACTTTGACTAGCGATAATTCATAAACTAATAGTTATTTTTTTATACAATTCTGCAGATAAAAATAAGTAAAAAAGTTCGTATAAATGTATGTCCTAAAATTATTAGTTTCCGAGATACAGGGTGTAGAAGTTTCATTTTTATTTTCATTTTTTCCAAATCATTTCTAAAATAACGTCAATATTTGAATGAAAAATGGAGTCTGGAAGTTTTTTGACCGAAAAGATTAATTTCGGGAGACGATAATGAAATTTTTTATCCTCGTGTATAAAACAATATTTTTTTCCATAGCGAGTTACGTTTTAAAAAATATTCAGAAATTATTATTTCAAGGAATTTATTACGAGTAAAAAAAAATATTGTGCTGGGTTGGCGTTGGTTTCTATGTAATTTGACAAATAAATAAAGCTCTCTTTACTTGTCAGTTTTGAGTCAATATTTTTTAATTCTCTTTCGTGTCGATTGCTGATTGAATTGGAGCCAGAAATGGCTCAAAACGAAATAAGTAAATTACCAAGAGATACTCAGGCTGAGGCGACAAACGCTATATCCAAATTATTTCCGTTTAAATCCCGAATAATAAACGTGCGTGAAGAAATAAATACATCTAATAATAACTATCCTCGCTGTTAAAGTATCATTTAATCTACCCTAGCTGTTAAAGTACTATTTTATCTACTATTTTTGATAGATATAAGGCAATTTTTTTGGCAACAGTTGCTATGAAAAAAAAGATATAATTATAATTAGATGTGGCTATATTTTCAGACAGCTCCACTTTTTACGAAAACGAGGGGGGTAAAAATTCCGTAAGCTACTTCTAGAAAAGGATAGTGCATCAAGGTAGATAGACAAATAATATACCGTGCTGGCAACTGTTACTTTTGGGTTGGTATTTACATGTGTGTAAGAAAATCGCATAGGGATCTTATGAAGTCGAAGTGAGAGAAATGCGACGGTATGCTGTTGCGGCGTTGCCGGTACGCCTTTCCCTATCAGGTAAAGTAAAATCACGATCGCAAACCGCTTATTTTTAAAAGATTTTTAAAAATTTGAGATATTTTCGATAGATTTAGAGATTTCGAGATATTTTCGATAGAGTTAGAGATATAGATTTTTGAATTGTTGAGTTCTAATAGCGCGACTACTGTCGAACACCCACTCAATTCCACTTATTTTTACTAAAAATGCAAGTGTTTCTAACTTGCACTTAAAATTTTTCAAGCTATAGGGAAAATTACAACGACTCGTTAATAAAATAAACAAGTAAAGCATCACGAGACGTAATTAAATCGTGAAGCTGAATGCATGATGTACACATTTCCCTAAAACTTTAAGTACCGACAGAGGTACTGATTGAGGTGACTCACAGTGCTTCGACCATATGGCTCTAGAGGACAAAAATGCAAAACTACTCTTTTATTGTAGGCAATTTATTCAAACTAGGTTTATTTGACACAAATGATGAGTACTCTCATTGTACTAAATGATGATGTTCTTAGTCCCACGTTTATGAAAAAAAATCTTATAAATAATAAAAATGTTGGAGCTGTATTCCATCTAAGGAAATAATAATTTATAGTATGAAAACGGTGTAAGTATTAAATAAACCCCTGTGATAAAAAAGAATTGAAATAACATTAGCACATGATTCCTACAATATAAGCCTAATATAAGATAAAAATGTCTTTCTTTAATGAAAAAGAAACATTAATGTTATATTTAATTAAAAAAAAAACTTAAGATACTATAAATTTACTTTAGGACAACAAAATGCATAGATCGTAACTACTCTGATTCAGAAGAATCACTGCTGACAGAATCTTCCAAATTTATAGTATCCAAATCACAGGTAGATGAAGTATCCTCACATATAAGATATTTCTGTACATCATGTTACTTTTTCGCGTTGTTACTGTTCATTTTGTCGGTATGAGGGGTTCGGATGTTAATAGTTACCTCTTTAATAGACCATATCCATATATTATTTTTTCCTTTTCTTGGGTATGAGGTTTTATAATAAATTGAAAAATGGAAACTTTTTTATGCGACGTTTCGCTCCAAAATAGTGGCCTTTTTCAGGCACAAGTGGTGTCTCATTTGACTGGAAGGATCATCAATATCTAATAAAGAACACATTTTTGAAATACAAATAATTTTGAGTTCTTGTCCTTATGATCAAGCCAAGTATTAACCAGATCGGCATTGCTTATCAATTTTACTCCATCTGAAAAGTATTATAAAATAAAGTTCGTAGCAAGCAGACGCAGGTGAACTATACAAAATTAAAAGTGTATGAATATGACAACAAAAATATTCAATAAATACGATATGTTTTGATATGTTTTTTTAAATGCCTTTTTGAAGTTTGAAAACGTAAAATTTTTATACCCATTTAGAAATCATCTTAAAAAATAAATAAGAACTAAGCAATCATGTACTTGTTTAGGAATAAATTTAAAGTACATACCTACCTTGTTTAACAATATCCATAGTGGCTTTCAATTAAGTACGTACCGTTTAGCTCCATAATATACAGAACTACTATGAATATTATTCTTTTCACTGATAAGATAATGATCGCAAAATTTATTTTTAGTGAAAATATTTGCTAACAAAAATCGCTGTTTATGAAAAATAATATACAGGATGGTTGAACATTGCTATAAGTATAAAATTACATATTCAGATATTAGTAAATTTTAACTTATTTTTGAAGGGAGTTATGACTATATGGGTAGGGTAACCATGATTTAAGCTAATATTAATTAATTTAGTAAGATATAAAGGTGCTTTAAAATATTTCCATAATTGTATTATCGTAAAATCGCAAAAATACGACATTATCATAAAGATGGCCGAATTTTATTCCTTTCTTATAAATAAATA